CGACTCGATCTATTGACTTTCCTGCATTCCGACCTGCTGTGCTTTTCCAGCCTCATACCTATGGACTATATCTCTATCCAAGTGGCTGTGTGCTGCTGTGACTGATATATACATCCTCATTTCCACCCCAGGGTGACGTTGCGATTGGAGTGTTCATCCAGCCTTACGCATCACTTCCCTTACATTCACAACAGGCCTGGAAGAGGTGACAGAGATAAGGAGGGATGCAAGGCTGGAGGAAGTTACAGAAATGGGAAGGGGTGACATGGCTTCAGGAGGTTACGGAGATTAGGAGGGTGAGGGTGCTAGAGGAGATGCCAGAGACAGGGAAGAGTGCAGAGGCTGGAGGAGGCAACAAAGTTCGGATGGGGTGTAGGGACTGCAGCAGGTTACAACGATAGGGAGGGGTAAAGGGGATGGAGAGTGCTACAGAAATAGGGAGAGGCGTAGGAAACTGAGGGTGTTACAGAGATTTTGAGTGATGTAGGGGCTGGAGAATGTTACAGAGATAGGGAGGGATGTAGGAGCTGGTGTGAGATCCGGTGAGAGATCTAATGGGTGGGAGCAAGAGTGAAATGGAGAATAACAGAGTCCAGAGGATAAACAACAGGAGTCCACTTCAGTAATTTCGAGTGAACCACACTGTGGCTGTTGGTCTGTTTGTGTAAATGTGTGACCTGTCTGAGAAGGTGGGGCTTTGATAGAGCCTCTGCAGCTTCCCTCCTGCTCGTGGGGGAAAGCATAGCTGCCTGTGTGATGTGTTGGAGCTGACTACTGATGGTGCCACGGGGTGCTGTACTGCTGCTGCTGCTCATCGCTCAGTGATCAGAGCAGTTTCAGTTCCTCAGACGACATGAACCTCCCCTTCCTGGCCATCTGGAGTGAGTGACCACACCACCTGCAGCTCTTTCACAAACAGCCCGAAAACAGCAAGGCTTCGACTCTCAGGAGCTAAACTAAGACACTCGAAAGCCACGCAGTTCCCCCGAGGTAGAGGTCGAGGGACTGCCCTGCAGTGAATTCAGATGGAGAGATACCTTTGGTACCGGCTCTTTGCCTATGTGATTCATCATTGGCGTGGCTTTAATCAGACTGCTAAGAGCCGTTGTTGTATAGTCACTTTCAAACTAACAAAACCTATAATGCAACCAAAGATTCCATCTAAGAAAGAGAAGGCAATGCAACCCAGCAACCTTGCTACATGATTCAGAACAATCAAGGCTAATTGCAATTCAATTCTACTTTCCTCCCACATATCCCTCAACTCACTTTGTGCACCAACGTCTACCTATTAGAGTCTACCATAGGCAGAGAGAATGCCACAGATTCATCAGAATTTCTCTTCATCTCAGTCCAAATTGGCTTCTCCCTTAAGCTGGAACGTGTTCTAGACTCCCCAGCTGGTCTGTTTTGAATGAGAGGGTTTGAGTGTTGATGAAATGGGGTTGACCACAGTCTCTCCACGTCAACCCTGTCAAACTCTGTCGAACTTTTGTACCTTTCAATGGGATCCCCTCGCCTTCTAATTGCAAGAGGTTATAGGCCCACTCTCCTCATCGGACAGCCCTTCCCCTTCGTGAAGTCCATTGTGTTCCCTCAGGGTTGGATCTTTCATTCCATAGGTGTGGAGACCACAACTGCACACATTGCTGCAGGAGAAGTCTTACCAACTCATTGTAAAATCTTGACTGCCGGGCATTTTTAATCCACCTGCTTAGATATGTCATGACAAATCTCTGAAGTAGGTGAAACTTCAACCCAGAATTCCTATCTCAAAGTAAAGAAGCTATCACTGCACCACAAAGGGCTTAAAGATCCTCCCTGTTACATTTTTCCATCTCACAATAAACCTTTATACACTATTTCCACAAGCATTTTCTCCCTCAACCACCTACTCTCAGTAGCAGCAGTGCATTCCAACTGCAAAATGCACTGCAGAAATTCGCCAATGATCCTTAGCGTCTTCAAACCTATGTCCACGTCCATGTAGAAAGGAAAAGGTAGCTCATACATGGTAAAAACACGCCGTACAAGTTTCCCTCCAAGCCACTTACCACCATGACTTGGAAACAGATCAGCTATTTCTTCAGTGTTGATAGGTCAAAATTCCCTCCCTAATGGCATTATTGATGCTCCTACACCACACGGACTGCAGCATTTCAAGAAGGCACCTTACCACTAACTTCTCAAGGGCAACTAAGGACGAAAAATAAATGCTGCCCCAACCAGGGAGCTCACATCCCACATGTGAATTAAAAAAAAACCTTTGTTTTGCTAATCTGTCTGTGGGGATGCTTGTTAACTTTCTCTATTCCCTTTAACTGAAATTGTTCTGACAATTCCTCTGAAAGCCAAAATGTTCCAGCCCTTTCAGAAATACACAGTATTTCTATTCCTCCAACCAGAATGAATAATTTACATTTTCCCACATCAAAATCTGACACTTCCCTATGCAATTACTAATGCAGGCTATATCGTTTTTCAGCCTTGCTCAAAGCCTACTCCCTCCACACCCCCCACCCCCCAGGAGTTTCATATCTTCATCTCCTCTTTCTGACGATTTCTCTTCACTGATGATTGCACCATTAAAAATCGTTACAAAACAGAGTTCAACAATAAATATCCTAGCCAAGGATTTGGACTCGAAAGCAGAGCTGTGAATAGGTATTTGAAAGGGATGTGATGGATATTTGAAAAATAATTGGAGGAGTCAATCAAAAATGAAAATCATGGAGTCATAAAGATCTCAAGCAAAGAAAAATATATTTCAGCCCATGATTATTGCGCCAATCAAAAACAACCTCCTAACTATTTTAATTCCATTTTCCAGCACCTGGCCCACAACTTTGGCATCGCAACTGGACATCTGAATACTTATTCAATTATATGAGGGTTTCTGCCTCTACCATCTTCAGAGGAAAGGAGTTACAGATTCCCACTACCTTCTGGGTGAAAGAAACTTCCCTCACACATCCTCGAAACCTCCTGCCCCTTACCTTAAATCTACGATCCCTTGCCAGTGATCTCTCTGCAACAGGGAAAAGCCCCGTCCCGTCCATCGTACCTATGATCCTTATGATTTTATGCAGCTTGCAGCACTTCTGCCAATGAATAGGCAGCCAGCTCAGAGTGGCCTGCAAGCTTGGGACAGTTGCCAGATCAAGCCTGATACAGGATCCAATCTGAAACATCCCCAAGTGTTTCACCAAATCTCCTCTGAGGTGGTAGAATCGGATATGATAACAATATTTAAGAGGGATTTAGACAGGCACATGAGCAGGCAAGGAATAAGGGCATATTCATCACGGATTTAGTTTAGAATGGCATCGTGGTCCACACAGACATGGTTGCCTAAGGGCCTAATCCTGAGCTGTACTCTTTATTCTATGTTATATATCCTCTCACAATTTCCTCTGCTCCAAGGAAAATAAGTCCAATGTATCCTCTATATCTTAATGACCGAAATCTTCCGGCTCAGGCAACGTTTTGATAAATGTCCTCTGCACCATCGCCAGTGCTATCACATCACTCCTATCATGTGGACGCCAGAACTCTGCACGATATCCTCTAGCTGTGGCCTAACTATTTTATACAGCTCCTAACTCAATCTCACTATTTTTACTCTATTGAGCAAAGGTTCATTTTTGGGTCTGATTCATCCAGCATTACCATCGGCCGGAATCAGGATGTTAGTTGAATAAATTTCAGATGAATCACTGCCTTTTCTTAAAGAATTGGCCACTTGAATGTATTAGACAAAAAGAGGAGTTGTGTGGTAAGCTTTCCTGTATTGATTGGACTGTTAGAATTGCTTATGCTTCGGGTAGCAGAAGACAATTTTTAGATTATTTGAAATATCCTGGTCGGACTTACACAGTTAACAGTAGGGCCCTGATTAGGGTTGTAAAACAGAGAGACCTAGGGGTGCAGGTGCATTGTTCTTTGAAAGTGATCTCACAGGTGGACAATGTTTGGCACACTTAACTTCACCGGTCAGAGTACTGAGTACAGGAGTTGGGAGGTCGTGTTACAGCTGTACAAGGCATTGGTAAGGCCCCATTTGGAGTACCACACACAATCCTGATTGTCCTGTTGTAGGAAGGATGTTAATAAACGAGTAAGGGTGCAAAAAGGTTTACAGGATGTTACCATGTTTTGAGTTTTAAGGAGAGGTTGGATAGGCTGAGACATTTTCTTCCCGGCGTGTGGCAGGCTGAGAGGTGACCTTATAGAGGTTTATAGAATCTGGAGGGGCATAGGTGAAGTGAATAGCCAAGGTCCTTTCCGCAGGGTAGGGAAGCCCAAAACTGGAGGGCATAGTTTTAAGGTGAGAGGGAAAAGATTTAAAAGGGACCTGAGGGGAACTTTTTCACACAGATGGTGTTGCATATATGGAATGGCCTGCCAGAGGAATTAGTAGAGGAGGGCGCTATTTAGTATTTAAAAGAGGTTTAGTTAGAAAATGTTTACGGGGTTATGTGTCAAACGCAGGCAAATGGGTCGAGTTAAGTTTAGGTAACCTGTTCGGCATGGACGAGTTGGGCCAAGGAGCCTGGTTCCATGCTGAATGCCTCTATGACTCTTTGACTCTATGTACGCATGGAAGCACAGAGAAAGAAAAGTGGATGTTTAACAAAATTGCACATTTTTAAGGAGTTGGATATAGTCATTTGGGGATAAGGTGATCAAAGGGTCCGAGCAGAGAAAATAGGAACCGTTGGTACAGTTGGATGATTAACGATGTTCCTATTGAATGAAAGAGGAGTCTTAAAGGACCGAATAGCCTAATGCGCCTCTATTTGCTATGTTCCTATGAACGCAAAGCTCATTCGCACGTTAAACATTCATAAACACAAAAGTTAAGATTATGGACAACGATGTAAGAAGCCAAAAATAGATTGGTGAAAACCCAGAGGGAAAACTTGCCCGTTCTCTGCCCCTTCATTTGCATTCCAGTGAATAAATAGAGCCGGAGCTCTCTCTCCGGTTAACCAACATTGTGAGTGGAGCAGCGCCCGGGAGTTTACTACAAACAGTTCAGCTGAGGGCAACTCTCAGATAGCTCGTTGTTTCAATGTATTCTCCAGTGGAAATGTTTCCAACGTTGCATCTGCTGTGGGCTCTGCTGCTTCAAGTAACAGGTCAGAAATTGTTCTGGATTGACCTTTGTCCGTAAAATGCCATTCGGTTTTGTTTTACACCCACTGGCAAAGTCACTCAATGTCTGTGTACGTTTCTTTAATTTTAGGTACCTTGGCTCTTCCTGACCTCAATCAAAGTCCAGTGTCCGACCCAGTATCTGCCGGTCAGACCGTCCAGTTGAATTGTGCGATGCAGAACAGTAAGGTGGGCAGCCACGAGATGTATTGGTACCGACAGAGTCCCGGAGAAGCCCCAGTGTGGGTGGTTGAGCATGAAACCGATAATGATATATTCAGAGGGACCGGCTTCACTGACCGTTTCCAACCTTCTCGAGACTCCTCCAGCAACAGTTACATCCTAACCATCAGAAACCTGGTGTCGAGTGACTCCGCCGTCTATTACTGTGCTGTGTGGGATAGCTCAGCTGGAATCATCTACGGAGGTGGAACCGCCCTGACTGTTCAGAGTAAGTGATTTTGTTCTCTCTCTCTCTCTCCCTCTCAATTTCTATCATTCAGATTAGTCCAATTTTTGTTACTTCAGAGTTCTTCAGATTTTACCAAATAATGATTCAAGCCATTTTTCAACAAATCTAATTCACATGCACAATTCATGGTGTTATTTTAATAATTCACTCACTCTCTCACACACTCATTCACGCACACACAATCGCACAGGTCAGCGTGTTTTTTTTAATATATTAATAATTCTATCTCTCCCCCTCGCACCCACACGGTTCAGAGATAATAACAATAGTTCTCTCCCCTCCCGCCCTCCTTCTCTCTCTCGATCACAGGTCAGTGTAACATCATTAATTTTCTCTCACACACAGATACCCAGCGGTCAAAATGTTATATATATTTATTATTAACACTTATTATTATATTATTGTTGTTTTTAACGATCCTTTGTCTCACACACAACGGCACAGGTCAGGGATTCTAAAAATGATATTCTCTTACGTGCACAGGTCAGTGTTACATTAATAATTTTCTCTCTCACAGATACACGCAGATCAGAGATTTATTTTTATTAATAAATGCAGGTGTTCCCTCTCATTCTCCTTCTCACACATGCAAGGCAGTGTTACATTCATAATTCTTTCTCAAATACAAACACATTGCTGTCAGAGTGTTATTTATATTAATGATCTCTCTCTCTTTCTAAAACACACACACACACACATCATTCTTTTATATATGTTAATAATTCTCTGTCTCTCAAAACACATATAGTCCAGAGATTGTTTAAATTATTCTCTCTCACATAGACAGGTCAGAGTATTATTTACATTCATAATTATCTCTCTCTTTCTCTCTCTCGCACACACACAGGCCAAAGATTATGTCAATAATTCTCTTTCACATACAGGTCAGTGCTACAATGATAATTCTCTCTCCCACTGACACACACAGCGGTCAAAGCATTTTATATATATTAATAATGCTCTCTCACCCGCACAAGTCAGTGTTTTTTTATATTGAAAATTCTCTCTCACACAAACGTACACAGGTAAGCGAGTACAACAACGTTAATAATGCTCTTTCTCCCTTTCTTACACAGACAGACACACACACGCATGCACACGCACACAAACGCGCACAGATCAGAGATTACATCAATAATTCTCTCACACATCCAGGTACATGTTACATTAATATTTCTCTCTCACGATCACACACAGGTCAGAGATTATAACAATAATTCTCTCCCTCTCGCTCTCTCTCACGCACACAGACATACATACAGGTCAATGATATATTAACAATTCTCTCTCACACAAAAACACACAGATCATACTGCTATTTATTTTAATAATTCTCTCCATCCCCCCCCTCTCTTTCGCTTGCATACAACACACACACACAGACCAGAGATTAAATCGATAATTCTCTCACACACACATAGGTCAGTGTGTTATTTATATTAATAATTCTCTCCCTTCCTGTCTCCCCCCTCCTCTCTCTCTCTCAGTCATGCACACACACGCACATATACACACAGAAGTCAGTGTGTCACATATATTAATACTTCTATCTTACATTCGCACACAGAACAAAGATTATAAAAATAATTCTCTCACACATACGCAGATTTTTTTGACGTTATATTAAAAATTATCGTCTTACTCAAAACGGCCAGTGTTTTATATATATAGTAGTTCTCTCTCACACGCATTCACTCACATGCACGCAGATCAGAGATTGCATCAATATTTCTCGCTCACACGCATAAGTCACGTAGCTCATCTTAATATTTCGCTCACACAGATCAGAGTGCTATATATAGAAATAACCATCTCTAACAATATCAATAATTCTCACACACAGACGTCAGTAATTATATTAATAATTTTCTCTCTGTCCCTCACATGCACACCTTTCAGGCGCGTATATATGAATAATTCTTAGTCACACACATAGGTCAGTCAGTTTTTTTTTGTTCAAATATACAATCCTGTCTCCCTCTCTTTCCCCATACACAGGTAATGATGATCAGAAACCATCTGTCCTTCTGCTCCCACCTTCCCCGGAACAAATAGACACGGGATCAGCCACTCTGTCCTGTCTGGTGAGTCGCTTTAAGCCGGGCCTTGTGCAGGTCCGCTGGAGTGTAGATGGAAAAGAGACAGACAGTGGGGTGACCACAAGCGCTGTGTCCCCAGACAGTGATCAAAGCTACAGCCTGAGCAGTTACCTGACAGTCCCGGCCACTGACTGGAAGAAAGGCTCCAGATATTCCTGCAGTGTGAGGCATGGTTCACTGAACTCGCCTCTCGTTAACACCATCACCTCGAGTGACTATCCGCTCTGAGGTATACAATGTCACGGGCTAATCATTATTTATGTTTTGCCGTGTGATTTCCACAGCAGTGTCAGTATTTGGTGAGCAACCTGAATATTGAAGGGTTTCAGGACTGGGTGAAATGATTGTTTCTTTTGATGATTGGGGATTTCCCGCTGCAATTGTCCCCAGCATTTGTGTATACACTCTAGTTCTGGATAGAGTGGGGAGCAATCTCCCTTTTTAGTCAATGACCATGTTGCATTTGTGAACTTTGTGTAAACACAGCTCTGAATAAACATGAAGTGGTTACACGAAATGACTGCACATCATTATTAAACACTGATAGGGGCACCGAGGGGCTTGGCAGTGGATAATTTACACCCGTGACAATATTACACAGAATTGCATCAAGTGATATAGGAATGCACATCCATAATAGTCACCTCAACCACTCCCCATGGGAGCGAGTACTCCACTCTCTCCCACCTCTCGTGGCAGTGAATATCCGATTCTCTCAAACCCCATGAAGCAAGTCTTATAATATCCCTGCTTCAGGAAGTTTCTCCTAGATTCCTGGTTGAATTTATCAGAATTGGATAATGTTAATCAACTCTGGTTTTGTTTGCTACAGGAACAGAACATTCAACGCTATTGAACTTCAGAATTTTTTAAAAAAACCTCAATCAGGTAATGCCCCTCAGCTCGCTATTTTCTAGAGTGAACTGACCCTGGCTGATCACTCTCTCCTGATAAGTCTAACCTCCCAATTCTGTCTGTGAGCTTGTCAATTATGGCCCCTTTCCTAGTACCTCTGTAATTTTGATTGAATTGGGTATCCTGGACTCTATACCTTAGTGCAATCTAACTAACAAGAGTAGATTGCGGGTGCAATCTGTAAACACGTCGAGTCAGGGACAGCATGCTAAGGGTCATAAACAGACAACCCACAGATAAGTCTCTATCTCAGCCTTGTTTCCCAATCCAGGCCTATGCATGTTCACTGATGCAAACACACAGAGGCCATTCATCCCATTATAATGTCCTTCACATCGACAACAAATTCCCAGTGAGACACACGCCATTTAATCTCAGCATCTGGGTGATTTATAATGAGGTTTTTCTGACAGTGAGGCCTCTTTGTCCTGTCCCATCGCATCCAGAGTGAGCTACCGTAATTCTTCCGGGAAACTGATGTAGGACCTACGTAGAGGCAGCCAGGGGAGACTGTTCCCACTGGAGGAAGTGTTGCTAACCGGATTGAGGAGCTGATGGGGGTCAGAAATGAGTATTTTGTTTTTGACCCACCAAGCCACTGTGATCCAGGACCTAGGAAAGTGGAAGAAGATTCAAAAGGAATTTTCAACAAGTGGTTAGGGCAAATAGTATGGTTTTGGGAGGTCGAGTAGTGGGAAGAGTTGGGGTGTGCGATAGCCAGATCGCTCCTTCATTCACAGTACCAGCCAATAGCAGGATGGAGATATGTCTACTCTCTGTGTTTTCATGTTCAAATCCTTGGATTCCTCCTTGCACCATCATGTTGATGTGGAACTGAGGACAAACCACTCCCCACCCAGAGGTCTGTCAAGTGCCAAGGATTAACTGTTGCTTATTGGCAGACATAGGCTTTAAGAAAACTTGCCAGCAATGGAGTCATTTATTAATATATTTAAAAAGGCTTTCCAAATTAAAAACTATAAACTTCATTCTATGCAAGTGGAATCACACAAGCACACCTGCTGTTACAGACTCACAACAATGTGGTTGACTCTTAACTGCCCTCTGGGCAGTTGGGAATGGGCAATAAATGCTGCCTGGTCAGCGACGCCCTCATCCCGTGAATGAATAAAAAAAACTTCACATCTACATTTCCACACATACATAGACACAAACATATTGTCTTTTTTATACAATTAACTCCCTCATCCCGTGAATGAATTAAAAAAACCTCACATCTACATTTCCACGCATACATAGACACAAACATATTGTCTTTTTTATACACTTAACTCCCTCTCCCTCACACACACACACACACACACACACACACACACACACACACACACACACACACACACACACACACACACACATACTTTGTATCTTTTACACACATTCTCTCTCATGATGAGGAGATGCCAACGTCGGACTGAGGTGGACCAAGTCAGAAGTCAAACATCGTCAGGTTATAGTCCAATAGGTTTATTTGAAATCACAAGCTTTCCAAACGCTGCTCTTTCATCAGGTCAGGTGCTCCTTCACCTGACGAAGGAGCAGCGCTCAAAATGCTTGTGATTTCAAATAAGCTTGTTAGATTATAATTTGGTGTTGTGTGACTTCTGACACTCTCACTTGCACACACATCCACAAAGACTTTCTCTCACGCATACGATTCACACATACTCACATGTTGTCTCTTGCATGCACTCTCTCTAATTCACCCCTCTCACCCACACACACCCTTCCGCTCACACATGCGCACTTTCTCTCTTACACATACCCTCACTCACTCTCTCTCACACACTCACACTTTCTTTTTTCGCATATTCTCACTGACATAGACCCACATTCTATCTTTTACATACTTTCTCTAACTCTTACTCTCTCTCTTACACATCCTCTCTCTAACTCTGTCTCACATACTAACTCTCTACACACTCACACTTTCTCTTTTTCACACTGTCACTCTCACACTTTCTTTCTCTTAAATACTGTCTCTGACTCCACCCCTCTCTTACACATATTCTATCTAACTCTGTTTCACACATTCACTCTCTCATACATAATCAGACTTTCTCTTTTTCACATTCTCACTCTCACACACACTCACACGTTCTGTCTTTTACACACTCCCTCTAACTTTCCCCTCTCTCTTACACGTACAGTCTCTAATTCTTTCACACACACACCCTCTCTGTCACACACATACATTCACTTTCTCACAGTCTCACTACTTCACATGCTTTCTCAGACACACACTTTCTCTCACTTACATGCACTCTCTCTAATGCATTGTCTCATGCACTCACTCACATATTCTCTCTTTTGCACACACTATGACATGTAAAGTCCCACAGAAATTGTCTTCCTCTCTCACACACTTACACTTTCTCAGGCAATCACTTTCACGCACTCTTATTCAGAGTCCAGTACAAGGGGGGGCAGTCTGTCAGGATATCGAGTAAGTCATTTGGGACTGAGATGAGGAGAACGTCTTCACTCAGGGATTGGTGAACCGGTATCATTCTCCAGCACAGAAGGCTGTGGAGGCCAAGTCATTGAAGATATTCCAGAAAGATATAGTTTTCAAGAGGCTAAAGATGTTGAGGGGTATAGGCAAGAGCGGAAGAATGGTATTGAGATACAAGTTGAAAAACGATTGCAATGAATTGCAAAGCAGACCTAGCTGACGAAATGGTCTAATACCGTTGTTATATTTTTTGTGTTTGACTCAGGCACATAGATGTGCACATGCAATGCACGCGCGTTTGTGTGCATGCGTACACTCATGCACATACACACGTGTGCGTGCATACACACACACACACACACACACACACACACACACACACGAGGGTGGAAACCAAATTTGAACATAGTTAAAGTTTCATTCCAAAATTATCCAGGAATTTGTAAGTCTTATACATGAACATAATAATCCTGGGCTAAATGATTAGCAAGAACACACCACTGGAAAGAGCCGAGACAAAATAGAAGTTGCTGGAAAAGCTCAGCAGGTCTGGCACAATCTGTGAAGAGAAATCAAGGTTAACATTTCAGGTCCTATGATCCTTCCTCAGAACGAGGCAAGACTTGTCTTATGAACAGTTTCGGCCTGTAATCATCAGTGCTGAGAAGAATAAAAGGAGAACTAATTGACGTGGATAAGATGCTGTAGGGATTGACAACGTAGACGTAGAGAGGATGTTTCCTCATATGGGGCAATCTGGACGGAGAGTTCATTTTTAAGATAAGGGGTTACAGATTTAAAACAGAGATGAGGAGGAATGATTTCTCTCAAAGGGTTGTGAACCTATGGAGTGTGGTGGATGCCACGTCACTGAGTAACTTTGAGGAGAAAATAGATTTAAATTTAAGAATGGGTCAAGGGGATTAGGAAGTGTGGGCAGGAAATTGCAGTTGAGGCCGAGATGAGATCAGCTAAGATGGCATTGTATGGTGGAACAGGTTGGAAGGGCTGAATGTCTCCCCCTCTCTTAGATCTCACGTACTTTTAAGAATCCTGCAGAGACTAGACAACCTTGCAAAGTCTGGGTGTCCATAACCAGAACAGAAACAGAGAGTCGATCCAGAATGTTTGATCTATTCATTTTTGCAGCTATTTCCTGGCCCAAGATTGAAAGAAAGTAGACTGACTGGAGAAACAGCTCACTGCTATTATTAAGTGGAGAGATTCCTCTTGTTGGATTGGAGCCCAGGCTCGGCATTTACTGGAGGTGGGCACCATTGTCATCCCTGCCAGACAGTGGCACTGTGACTGATGTGTGTCCACAACAAAACCGATAATTGGCTCTGTGACTGAGATATATTTTCATCTCTTCCGCTAGGTAGTGCTGTGACATATATCTATTGTGCGCGCACACTCATCCCTGCCGCTAGGTGGCGATGAGTTTTTGAGTTATTTGTTGTCACACAGATTCTCTGATTTATTATTGTCACATGCAGCTAGGTACAGAGAAAGCTTTGTTTTGCATGCAGTACAGACAGATCAAATGATACAACATGCATCAGGCTAACAAAACAGACCGAAGAATATCACGTTATGGCTGCAGAGAAGGTGCACAAAGAATGAGATCAACATAAAATTTACAATTTGAGAGGCTCATTCAGAAATCTAATAACAGCGGGGAAGAAGGTGTTCCTGAATCTGTTCACACATGTGTTTAAATTTTTGCATCTTCTGCCCGATGGAGGAGGTTAGAAGTGATTATAACTGAGGTGAGAATACATTTTGATTATGTTGGTTAACTTCCCGTGGCAGTGAGAAGCATAGATAGAGTTAATGAACTGAAAGTTGGCTTGTATGAATAATTGGACTGTGTACACAACTCTCTGTAGTGTCTTCTGGTCCTCAGCAGAGCCGGTGCCATACCAAATCATGATACATCTGTTAGATTGATTTAAATAGTGCATCTGCAAAAATTATAAAGAATTTTTATGGACATGCCGAATTTCCTTAGTGTCCGGAGGAAGCAGAGGCGTTGTTGTGCTTTCCTGACTGGATATGACAGGTTGTTGGTGATCAACAATCCTCAGAACTTGATTCTCTGAACCATCTCCACCTCAAAGCCATTGATG